TTTGTTCGTTTATGCAGCCGCCCAAGCACCAGCACCAGCAATCCAAAATATGACAAATATGACACTAATTACGAAATCCTAGGGTATCAGCAATATAAGAAAATAATGCGAATAAATATCAAATCGATATTAGTAAAGCTAAAATACGTAACAGGTAATTTTGAAATACTATGCTTCATGTACTGTAACATCCATACCACTTTAAAATATGGTTCTCTTTCTGGTGGATTAGCCGGGTCAATTTTAAAGACATAGATACCAAGAGATATTAGCGTATACAGGAAAGAAATAACGCCAACAAAGACAAAAAATTGTACACTAGCAGAGATATTGCTGCCTAGCTCTACAAATTCTGTGCGATTACTACTGCTACCGCTGCTGTTACAGGCAGGTGAGGCATACGTTAACGAACCAGAGGCGAATGGGTATGAGAACTTAAGGGTAGCAGTTTCGTTACGTACTGATCCTCCACAACTAATAGTTACTGCAGTCATTACTGAGAACGAGGTGGCAGTTCCAAATGCCAGGATGGCTACAAACTATGAATAATCCGCAGATAGAAAATTTAATAAATATAATTGTTTGATTACAAGCATTTAAGCCTTAATTAATTAATAAATGAGCTTATCTTCCTTTGCATGTTTAACGAATAGCTTAGAAAACCTGCTGTATAGATGCATAGGCGTAACTTGGTGTAACAAATTGCGTATCATATTATCCGCTATACTACTGCACTGTATGTTTAACTAGATAAGTTGTCTTTTACAGTACTCTTTCTTACCCATTGTATGATCCTCATGAAACCTTTAGGTTCCTTAAGGACCCTTCCATTTCGCGCTGAATTCCTAACCTGTAATAATTGTGCAATGTACGTATGTATATGATACACGTATAATAATTATATTCATCGTAGTAATAAAAAATTTATTTTCGTAGATTGAATTTTGAATTGCTACAACGATAATCGCAATCACTATTATTACTAGTACTGTACAGTACAATACACACTGGTTCCTACAGTGATGTGCGCGCGCGTACGGTACGATACATACTGTACTGTACACTGTACAGTTCAGTAGTGTTAAACAGATGAAAGGCAGGGTTATGAGAAATCTCAACGCACAGAGCATGTACTGTACTGTACTGTACACTGTTTAGTCAGTTCGGTACTGTACAGTACTGTACTGTTCTAAAGAATTTTCGCAAATTAGTTGACTGAGCTTCAACCAAAAACTTTACTGCATGCATTGGATCACCAATATTTATTTATTTAATAATCTATGGCACAACTGCATTACTGTAGAGGTAAAATGAGTCACTGTATTGCTACGAAAGGATTTCACGTTTATCTAGAGAATACAGTAGATGCAGTTTGCGCCTATTTTATGTAATTTTATTACACTACTCATCATATAAAGGAATGAGTCTTACAAATAAATTAATATTTAATAGTCCCTATTGAGTAGTGAAGCTACCAACCATCATGCTATTATCATCTTCCGCCAGAGCATCGACGACATCATCCTTTTTATTATTAATACTAGTAAATCCCTCGCTCGTTATACTTCGCGTAGTTTTAGTAATCCATAGCAGCTCTACAGTAGACTATATACTGTATACGGTATTCATTTATAATTTAGAATACACTTAACATCTCATGCGCTAACAAAACTAGGAAATTCGGTAAAGTTGCCATTGATATTAATGTACGAGTAGCGAAGCTTAGACTAGTGACTGCTAGGTAAATAATCTCAATTGAACAAATCATTAATTTTCCCTAATTTAAATACTGATTATGCTGTTTATACAGTCAATAAGTAGCCAAAATTATACAAAACATGTCAAGAAGTTACTAATTCGGTTGCATTAGGTAAATTTTTATTTTTCGGATTTGACAGTGAGTAATGTTTAAACTACACTACAGTATACAGTACAGTACTGTGATAGTATTTAAATATCTTGTTTCTGATTAGATACTACTGAGGATCAATTCGATTTATATAACTAAAGCTTTTGGGGAATATGCATACGATTACCTCTAACTTTTGGAAGTCAAAGAAAACTGACATCGAATAAATCATAATGGTCAAAAAGTTTAAGAATGTGTGCGCTTACGCTGTACACTGTACAGTACATTAAGGTGCTGCTAGCTAGAAGTCATAAAAGCATGTACTGTACGATTAAATCAGTTTACTGTTAATCAAACCTCTGACAGGTCTAGGTTAGGTTAAAGAAAATCATAAAATGCGGTATAAAATCATGAGAATTTCTAGAAAGTACTTACAACGTCCATCGTTCGATATTGCTCTGGTTTGTCGCTACTCTAGAAAAAGCAGATCTACTATTTTGTAAATTGCAAGTATTCAGTACTGTACACTATATTCGAGTGATTGATTAAAATCAAAGCAGACTTTTTCATAGTCAAACGCGCCACTCACCAACGGAACCTGTGATGAACTATCTGCCTGCTATTGGCCAATGGTAGAGATCGTCAGCATGATCATAATGTACTGTACTGTAGACCTGTACTGTACAAGTGTACAACTGTACTGTACTGTACAGTACAGTACGTACTGTACAGTACAGTACCTTCAAAAAGACAATTTTTAAAAATAGCACATTACAGCATTAAAAAAAAAAACAATTAATTAAGGGTATAGCATATTATAATAGACCTTTAATTTACTACAGTAGTGTAACCATGATGTAATTTACCTGTGTCGATACTGTTTTAGATACAATAAACAACTATGAAGATCTTCATGCAGCAGCCTCTTCTAAATCTAAATAATTATAGTACAAGCATTATATATTATAAATGTAGGTTGATTTTTTCTTTTATTTCCTATTGCATTAAGACGCCTATTTTCTATATACAGTACTGTTAGTCGCAAAGGCGGTTTTCGATTAAAGCATGCCTATATGCATATATATTATAAGCGCATTTAATGATAACTATAACTTTTGGCTATTATAGAGTCAGTATGAAATTGTCTAGAGGTTTTGAACACCTAAAATCAAAAGTTAGTTACTAATAAGATCCTATCAAGATATTACTACTACTCATTGCGCACAGCAAAGTTTCTCCTGGTGAGCTAGAAGTACTGCTCATCATAATTAATTATAACTAATGCAAGTATGCAACTGCTACATGCAGATATAGTACTAGTTAAGGTGACCGAGGTCCGGCTCAGAAACAGTGTTAGCTGGCAGTGGGTTATAATATAACCCCGGTCAAATAACCCAGGAATTTAGTACAAAAGTACAACCCAAGTCAACAATCAGAAATCACCAATAACCCCGTTTTCTATAGTGTATTACTATCTAGAGTTAATACTAACAACGGTATTGAAAGTTCGTACTACAGTACTCTCACTTAGCATGGAAACAAGAAATTGAACACGTAGTTGCAGTTATTGTAAAACTAAATACTGTACTAACCCTTACTCTCTATTTATTGTACTGTACTGTACAGTACAGTACTGTAGACTGATGCATGAATCTTGAGCCTGAGTCGATCGTAGCTCTAAGCCGCCTCAAAGCTGTAAAAGTACAGTACAGTACAATACAGTACAGTACTGTACAAGTGCACCACAGAATTCTTGATACACACTTCTCTGCTGATGTACTGTAGTCTGTAGGTACGCTATACGCTGTACTATACAGTATACAGTACAGTAGAGTCCTTAAAATGGGGGTAAAAACGCAACCCGAATCAGATAAAATCCGATCAAATGGTTGATTTTCTAATCCGAAATGAGTGCAATCGCTATACAAACACTGTAATCTACGGTACAGTACTGTACAGTACGTACACTAATGAATCTACTGTTACACAAACTTGCAATTACTGTACAGTACAATGTACATTGCGTTATAAGTATGAACGGCGCACCGCCCGTAAGCCGCCGTTTTTCAATACAGTACTGTACTGTACAGTAGTACTGTACCGTACACTGTACTGTACTGTACTGTACTGTACTGTACTGTACTGTACAATAGTTCAACCACATTGAAACTTCTACTGTACTGTACTGTACAGTGTACACTGTACAGTACTGCTTCTCGTTCTCAATAGGGCTACACTGTACTGTACTGTAGTCCAGATTTATTTAAATAAATTACAGTGCTGTACAGTACTGTACAGTACAGTACAGTACAGTGCAGTGCAGTACTTACAGTGTACAGTAATACTGTACATAAGGTTTATCATTATACTGTACAGTACAGTACTGTAATCTCTATGGTGGATATGAGTCGACAAGGATGATATCTCCACGATAGGCAAAGGATATTTTTATTTAGCTGTAGGTTAATAGTATCGCGTTGCCATCTAGCATGATAGGGTTACGCCGGCTTAATGAAGCTAAAAGTTACCTTGTCCTTCAAGAATTTGCCAAATGTCTAGAAGAATGTCGTGATGGTTTACTTGAATGTAACGTTTCTAACAATCTCAGCTCGGAAGCGAAAAGGTTTATTATAAATCCATAAACTACTCGATAGTCGTTATTGATAGAACATTTTCTCTTGTGAAATTTGCATTGTAGTACTAAACTCATGTTTTATTACATGTGTTGCACTTAATGCTGTATATAAGTTGTGGATATACAGCATACTATATTTATGGCTTTCTTTATAGCTTCAACATGTCCTGAGAATATCTATTTGCATTATTATTTAGAATTAAAGAAGGCCTATGTATGATATCGATTCAAGCTTATGCAGAACTCAATCAGTGGCAGCTAGTTGTTCCTTTCGTGAAAGAGCAATACAGTGATTTCTATCATCTCCCTAGGAAGTTAATACTAGTTTGGTAATTTTTCTATTTAGAATAGTACAATATACAGTATATGCATTTTAATAATCACGATACAGATCAATAGATATATAGTAATAAAAAAAAATACGTTTATTTCTCCTTTAAAGCGCCTCGTTATTTATTATGATCAATAATTTTGAACTTGCTCAAATTATGATCGAAGACTGGTTAAACTATTCTGATAATAAAGATAATCTTTCCGATTATCAAACGGTTGTGGATAACTATATTATCAACGTTTTAATGCCTACACGACAGTTCCGGAAGTTACGCCAATTCATTAAGGACAACGAAGCCTTTCTAGATCGCAATCGCGTAGAGGTAAAGTGTGCTGCAACTTGTTGGTTTTTGCATAATGAATCGTTCTAGTAATTGACACAACCTAAGATTAGTTTGTTAGTAGAAAAGCCTTGGTAAAATTAAAGTGATTCTAGAAAATTTTAGATATTGCACATAATTTCCATTGCAATATTGCTTTGGTTTAGAATATATACTGAATATTTGTATATATTAAATAGGGCTACGTAGAGACAGCAAAGAGAGCAATAAGTGAAAGTGAAACAACGGATTGTAAATATGAAGACGTCAGTAACTACATTTAAGTATTTTATTTTCTAGATATTAAAAATCTGGAGAGTTCTACATCGAATGTTGGTTTGAGACATTTTGACTAACTCACTCAATTTATTACAGTTTCGCGATGATGCTCCAATCAATGATGAGATTGTAAATTACCCTTCTACTGGTAATTAGATATATAAGAAGAGATTTTTGTAATGTGTTGATTAGCTAGGTTATGATTCCAATTAAATTGATTTATGATACAAGAAGTTAATCCTCGTATCATCATCATAACAATGTTGATTTTTAATTTACTTTGGTTATGTACTATTCTATTTCATTACAGGTAAGTTTCGGGATTTCTTAAGGATTTTTCGGGGCTCTTCTATGCTGTTATGGAAATGCCTTAGCAATATTGGCAGTACCAGTATGACTAGCAAAGTGTTATGGCTTCTTGTAGTGGCTTTTTTTGTTCGTACACGATATACAGGCTGTAAGTACGATGCGATACTAAATTTGCAATATATTTAAGGATGATATAGCAATTTTCATTTTATTTAGTTACGATGGCTTCTGTTATCTTCAAATATCTTTAAAAGTAAAGTTACAGATTAAGTTAGTTGATTTAGTGTGATTGATTCCATCTGGAATAAGAGAATGTGATGTTATAAATTAAGGCAGTGTAGTCCTGATAAAGAAATATGATCCAAACTGTCTGTTCTTTCGGTTAAATAGGGTCTTTTACAAATTCGTTGTTAATTGAATTACTTCAAAAGATTCTGTACTCCATATACCATATATTCCGGAAATAGAATCCACACCGTAAAGTATACATGCACAATGATAGACAGAATGTCTGTATCATTCTTGAACTGCTATCAGAGGGAACATAGATAACTATCTAGAATTTACCCTTGTTTAAGATTTACGATCTTACAATTTTCTTCATTTTCTTTATCTGTGAAATGTTTTTATAAATTAAACTGTAATTATAGAATAGCAAGAGAACTGAAGCTGCTAAAATTTTATTTTACAAAATCCGCATAGCGCGAATATCAATAATTTCGTTCATGATTGGCAATATTATCTGACTCCAAAATTTTCGACACAACATGAATATACAGTATTACTTATAGGCATTAACCATACTGCATATTGTATAAGGAACTATTTTAATTTTGCTATAACCGATTTGTACAAAGATGTATGCTACGTTCAGAAATGATTTTCTGCAACAATTTCAGATTTAAGTACATAGAGTTGCAAGTTTGTTTGAATTAGGTATTAATGCAAGATGTTTTCAGGAAACACAATTGAACTGCTCTGTAAAAAATAAAATAATGAAATAGCTGAAGAAAAATCACTTTACTGTATTTTATTCGTACAGTATATTGTTCCTTCATTTCCTTTTTAAGATTGACAACTATCAATTCACTTGTGGAGTTGAAGGGCCTAGAATGGTGGTTTAGTACTGTATGTACTGTGCTTGTACTGTAATCACACCCTCCCACCCTTGAAATGGGCAGCGCGGGGGTATTTATACTAATGTTAAATGACTCTGATTATGGGTTCATTTCAATAGGTCAGTATAAGATTCTTACAGTACTGTACTTTTAACCTAAAGATTTCTTCATGTAAAACGAATAGCTCTAAGGTAGTAATTTCTGCAGAGTACTGATTATTAAAATAGTATTCGTTATATCGCTAAGGGTGGCTACTGGGCCTTTAAATTTTGATTTCATGTAATATTCTGATGAAAATTGAATAAACATAGAATCTTTATAGAGTTTTCTACACAGCCATTTTGATTGTTACATTTTCTTATAACGGTTGTTATCGACAGAGCAAGCTTTGCTTGCATACGACAGCGATCCTTAGACACATTATAATGATTGGTATAGAATTGACCACAGTACTAAGGACATTCTACCGCACTGTAGATATCTTTACAGTACCTGCTAATCTTAACTTGGTACTGTATGTCCATCACCGTACATTAATTATCATAATGTGCTCTAGACCATTAACTAATCTTAATATAGTATAGTATATTACTATTACTGGGATATATATAATATCGAATGATAATACTATCTGTTAATTTTATTAACAAATTGACCATAAACGTATATTTGACAGTTTCGCTTACCAACCTTAACATAGCATTAATACCGTATATAGTAACCATCCTTATTCAGTAAACATACTAATACGAAAGTTACTTAACGAAATTTGAATTGGTATAGAAATGAATGATCTGTAGGGTTTATGTAAATATTATTGAGAAGGTAGAAGTGATTGATACACATCAGTGGGTACTATTAGTTCTATCTATTGCTCTCTTGCAATTCGTAGTGTTATCCTACTGTAGTTCCCCTGTCCCGATTACTTTTGATTGCTATACTGTATATAGTAACTATCCTTATTCGGTAAACATACTAATACGAAAGTTACTTAACGAAATTTGAATTGGTATAGAAATGAATGATCTCTACTGTACTGTACAGTGTACAGTACAGTAGTGTAGAGATTCAGAGGTCTGATACAGAGTTTCAAGATTAAGCCTAGTTACAGTACAGTACACAATGACTACTGATACAGTACCGCCGACTGACGAAACTTACAGTACTGTACTGTACAGTACAGTAGAATAGAGTCGCCAGTCCATAATAAACAGTGACAGATCGACTGTTCTACTGTACAGTACTGTAAACCCTGGGCCACCGTACAGTACTGTACACTGTACAGTGTACACTGTCACTGTACAGTACAGTGTACTGTACAGTAATACTGTTCTGCGTACTGTACTATACTGTACTGTACGTTTACCGTGACACAAGATCGATTTAACGTAACTCATAGTCTCATACTGTACACTGTTACAGTGCAGTTGAACCGGACCTTTGAAAGGTGTAGGGTGTAGTCCATGGCAAAACATAGTAATTGAGCTCGTGTTTTAGCTAATAACTAAGTTTTAATAAATAAATAAGTAAAATGTCCGCTCATGGTACTGGCGGTAGGCAACGTAGAGGAGGAAAGATGACACTGTTATCAGAAGAAGGAAAGAATGATTCAGTTGTATCCGAACTGAGGATGAACATTACTACTCTTCAAAAGTTTGATCGCACCATAACTGATATCGTTTATACGTGTAAAAGAGTGGCTCAATACCAGTTCAGTACACAAGATCACAAATGGGTAGGCATAAACATATAAATTTTGAATGCTATATACGTACGCTTTTACAAATCTGCTAGTCACTGTCAATAAATTTCAACTAATCCAATTGTAACGATAGCTAAAATTAAAATTTCAGTTACTAAAAACGCAATTAACCTTATATTGTACCATTAGCAAAAGACTGAAAGAAATGGAAGCTTGTTTGTTTACAAAAGGTAACATTAGGCGTACTGTAGAGTTGTAATAATTGTATTCGTGTATTAAAGATACAATCCTGTAGTTACTCTTCATTTTGCAGAATGCTTTTTGCCATAAGATCAGATTAAATTTATCACATATTGGTATTGTTGAAGACACAACTTACTCATCACATACATTTTAAATTATGTATTACATATACAGTACTATAATTAAGTTGTTATCTACAAAATTGCGATAGTATGGCATGTACAATTAATTATACGTATGCCAGCTATTCGTGATTCTTTAGTCGTTACAAAGCCCTTTAGAATAGCTCTCGAAGTACGATAATTTACTTGCTAAATTTATTAACGTCTATGCAAAATAAAGGATTAATATCTAT